CTGACGCCTGGCCTAGAACCTTCCCTGTCACCACCCCAGTGGTGGCTCCTGAGTTAGGAGCACTTCCTCTTTTTTGTCAGTGTTTTCTGCACATGCATTGCCTTTGGGATGCACTTCTGCAGTTTTACCTTAGGAGTGTTCACGTCAGCAGGACACTGTAATTAGTGAAGCCCAGTGGCCTGAGATGCAGGGTGAAGGAAGTGCTCTCAGGAGGTACGGAACTCCTCACTCCCCTCCCAAAGCTCCGTCCTCTTTTCTTGCTCTCATATGAGGGCCGAGTCCTCCTGCCTGTCCACACAAAGACACTGAAAGAGAGCATGAGAGTGCTAAAACTCCGTGGAGTCATGGGGGCAGGGACCTCTCACGGCCAGCTGTGAGCGTGTGTTTGTTGTGATGCTGGGTGGAGGCCAGTGCTGGACCACTTAGCTGCTGCACATCTCAGCAGTGCACCTAAGCAAAGGGACAGTGTGCCTGTGAAGACTGGGTTTGAGGGGAACCATCTTTATTTTGTCTTTATACCAGCTGGGTGAGATGGAGTGAGCTATCTTCTAAGTCTTATCCATAGAGGCAATAACATCTGTGCCCACAGTTGTAGGAAGGTTAAATTTGAAACATACTAATACAGGTGTCCAGCACAAAAATTGATGCTCCAAATTCCATTATTGAGGAAAATAACACTGGGTCCTAATAGAGAGGCTGACAGGCAGAAACTCTCAGGAAAGGGACGTCCCCTACCCTCCTGGCTAACATTGTCTTCAACGTTTCATTTTGTTTTGAGATAAAATCTCACTGTGCCTCAAGCTGGCTTTGAACCTGCAATCCTTGAACCTCCCAAGTGTTGAGGCTGAAGCAGGTGCCACAATGCAGGCGGACCGGTCTGCTGCACTGTGAGTTACTGTTCTGTTGCTGTGAAGAGACACCTTGGCCACAGCAGCTCAATAAGAACGCATTTAATTGGGGCTGGCCTACAGTTTCAGAGGATTCGTCAATTATCAGTATGGCGGAGAGCGTGTCGACAGGCAGGGAGCAATGGTGTCATACTATTTTGTATCTTATTATTTGCAAACATCTTGAACGTTTCATGTTAGTAACATACAGATTTATATGGCTGTTGCCCATTGCTGGCTGATTTAGCCATACCCCTAGTTATGGGTCGACAATACTCAAGATTCTAGAACATGGGTCCTTACACCATTGTGAGTATAACTGGAAACGCTGAGTAGGAAATTGTGGATGACTAGTTTTAGTACATCTCAGTAAATGCCCCTGCTTCCCCACAATATGGGTCTTGAGAAAGCAAGCTGCCTTTACTAGAGCAGAGCAGGTGCCCATGGCTTTGCTGTGATTAATATTCAGCAAAGAACCCTAAGGGTGGAGGGCTTGTTACGGGCTCAGCAGGAATGTCCTCACAGGCTCCTGTCTTGGAATTCTAGGTCCCAGATGGTGATGCTGTCGTAGGAGGTTGTGGGAACTTGAGGCAGTAGGGCCTAGGTGGAGGAAGTAGTCTGTAGAGGAGGGCCTGAGCTTGTTGACTGCCATGGTGTGGATGGCTCTGGTCTATGGTGCGCTTTCTGCCATGAGCTGAAACCAGGAGCCAAACAGCCCCCTTAAATTGTTTCTCTCGGGTATCCAGTCAGCTGTGGTGGAAGCAGCTAGTGTAGGGCTTGATTCCCAACATCTGATCCGCCCTGTTTATTTTTCATTGTTTATTTTTTGACACAAAGTCTCGCTGCCCTGGAACTCATTATGTAGAAGCTGGCCTCAGACTCAGAGATCTGTTTGTCTCTGTCTCCCAAGTGTGCTGGATTCAAAGGAGTGTGCTGCTACGCCTGCCACCATGTTCCTTTTTAGACTCTTTCACGGAGTCCCCAGTATGATGGTTAATGTTACTGAAAGACTCCTAGAAGCCTGGCAGTGGTGGCGCATGCCGTTAATCCCTGTACTCGGGAGGCAGAGGCAGGCAGATCTCTGTGAGTTCGAGGCCAGCGTGGTCTACCGAGTGAGTTCCAGGACAGCCAGAGAAACCCTGTCTCAAAAAAACAAGAAAGAAAGAGAGAGAGAGAGAGAGAGAGAGAGAGAGAGAGAGAGAGAGAGAGAGAGAGAGAGAGAGAGAGACACCCCCGAGACCCCTCTGGGTGTGCTGAAGGGCATTTTCAGAGAGTAAACTAAGGTGGGGGTAGGGGTGGGGTGTGAGGAGAAAGGGAAAAAGGATGCTTGTGTTCTATGTCTCTGTCTCTCTTTCTCTCTCCCCCTCTGTCCCCCTTCTCCCCCTTCTCTCCCTCCCTCCCTCCCTGCTGGCTGCCAAGGTGTGAGCTGCCATACCACTCCCCACCATGATAGCCTGAAAACTGAAGCTGTGAGTCAGCCAGCCTTGCCTTAAGCTGCTGAAGCTGACACCTCACCACGGCACCGGATGAGGACCACTGTAGCCAGCCCTACGTGGATGCTGCCCTGAGCGCATCAGAGCTAGAGAAGAGCACTGTCGGAAGAGCACTGGGAACAGCATTGCCAACACCCTGAGGTTGCCTCTGCTGTGCGAGCAGTTTCGCAGTGTCTGATACTGCTGGACCTACAAGCCCGGCACCGGCCCAGGGGTGGAGTTCACAAGACAGGCCAGGGAGGGGAACTTTACAGGGAGAAATACCACCTTAGGCGGCTCAGTGGTCGGGAGAACGGCGGCAGGGCTTGACTTCCGGAACTCCAGCTTTCTCAGTGGCCACAGAGCTAACTATCCAAAGCTGAGACCCAAATAAGCTGCCACAGGGAGAGGAAAACTCAGGATGGGGAGAAAGGCCACCGGCATGATTCTGCTATCTCTGGCCTCGCGTACTTCTTTGTCCAGGGTAGAGACCACAGCCATCAATACCTGCTCTTTATCACCTCTGAGACTTGAACTCTGACTCCGCTTCCTCCAAACCTAGCCCACCTGCAGCCCTCTTGACACAAAGTTCCACCCAGTCTTGACACCACCTCCTGTTCCAAACACAGTGCTCACCCGGCCCCACCGTCTCCTGTGTGAGAAATATCCCCAGATCCAAACTTACATGCTGCTAATACCTGTCAGCAGTCGTCCCTCTTTCCAAGCCTTCCACAGAGTGTTCACTCAGGCTGCAGAATCTCCTTCCAGGAAGACACCAGTGCCGACCTCATTGTCCAGAGCGTACCCTCATTCTGCTTCTTTCGGGACACTCTTCTCTTAAACCCAGTGGAACCACCACCAGAGCCGGTGCCGCTCCACCCACAGCGTGTCCACAGGAGCCCTGCCGCCAACAGTCCCCTCTGCAGCCTGGGCAGCTGCTGGCCACTTGGGACACAGAGATGGGGCTGCTTTTCCCAGAGCTCCGGCGTCAGGACACAGCGATCAGGGTTTTCACGCCTTCACGTGGAGTCACTGGTGTTTTTAACTTTTTTATGATGTATGTTTTACCTGCCTGTATTTAGGTGTCTCACACATGTACATACATGTATTTTGCACCACATATGTATGTGTGACGTGTGCTTGGTGCCCATGGAGGTCAGAGGAGGGCATCGGGGACCCCTGGAACTGGAGTTACAGATGGCTGTGAGCCACCACATGAATACTGGGAATTGATCCTAGCCCCCCGAAAGGCAACAAGTGTTCTTAACTGCCACACCATCACTCAAACCCCATTTTTAAATTCCTTTATTTTTTGTGGGGGGTGTTTTGCCTGTATGTATGGCCATGCAGTAGGTGCGTACAGTGCCATTGGAGACCAGAAGGCATCAGATCCAGGGGACTGGAGGTGCAGATAGTTATGAGCTGCCATATGATTATTGGGGATTGGACATGGGTCCTCCGGAAGAGCCCCTGGAGTAGCTGTTTTAAAGGTCACCTGTGTTCCTCAGTTAACGGCTTGCTGTTTTTTTCCATTGGTTGTACATTTTTATGGATTGACTACCATTTTATTTAGCTACTCATTTTTGGATAGACGGTGGATTGTTTCCAAGTTTATGCATTTTTTTTATTTTTTATCTTATGTGTATGAGCGTTCTTTCTGCAGGTATGGATGTGCACCTTGTGCATGCCTCATGGCCTCAGGAGTCAGGAGAGGGGATCAGATCCCTTGGTACTAGAGTTGTGGATGGCTGTGAGCCACCATGTGAGTGCTGGGAACCCATCCTCTGCAAGAGAAACCAGTTGTCAGCCTCTAAGCCGTCTCCCCAGCCCCGGGGTTCAGCATTTTCTAATAAACAGATACAGACATCAGTGTGGAAGTCTGTGTGGTCACTCACTGACTCCTACAAATTTACAAAGTGAGAAGGAACCCCCTCTTCACGGCAGCTTCTGTGTTCTCCCCGGTCCCTTCAGTGCCCTCCTGGTGGTTCTTCTCTCCCCTTGCCCTCACTATGACCCCCTCTGACTGCTTCCCACTTAGGCGTGGATCTCAGTGCTGGGGCTGGGGACCAGTGGTCTTGCAGCTTTATAGGATGTGACTTTGGAAAATGCCGCTGGAACATTTGCTAAGATGGTGTCAGCCCAAGAATTTGGCTGTGACTGTGCCTAGGAGTTGCTTTGAAACTCCATGTGGTCGAGAGGCCAGAGCCGAGTGACCATAGAGCATCCTTGGGGGAGGAGGCACACACCAAGAGAGGCAGTCCAAGTGCAGTCCAAGTTTCTCTACACGTGTGTGTATCTTTTACATTCATGATATTGATATGTTTGAGCATTTATATAATGTCTGACCTGTCCCCTCCACTGAATGCTCAATGGTCAGCCTCCTGGCCATCCTCACTATATCTGACCACAACCTGGCAAAAGTCCTGGCCATGGAGATAATTAATTTGTTGGCCGAAAGGAGAGCTCCCATTGAAAGTGGCTTGTCCTTGTTCTTAAGGAATAACCATCAATCACGTAGACTGTGTGGGATTCAGACAATAGCAATCAACCTAGACAAATATGACAGCATCTAAAGATGGGGAAAGAAACATGTCTTTATTAGAAGAAATAACCCAAATGCTAGCACCATAAGAACAAAAATACGCAGCCCTGGTCTGGTGATTGTCAGCTTCTTCGCCGAACTGAGAACATGCTGCCCTAGCCCTAAACACATGCTGAGAATTCACGCTGCTGGTGTACCGTGCGGCTTCTCTTGGATTGCTGATGTTGCAGTATTTAATCCACATGCAATGAAACACCTCTTTCTGGTGGCTCTGTGCACTCTGACAACTCCACAGGCCGGTGTGAACACCACACACAAGGAAGAGAACGGTGCCTTCACCTCAAAGCTCGCTCGTGCCCTTCGCCAGCAGCCCCCAGCGTTCATGCAGAACTGGCCTGCCTCACGCTGTTGATCTGTTGCTTGTGGAGAAGCCGTCTTTTCCTGCCCGCCTTCTTTCCCTCAGTGTACACTCAGGACTCGTACTCGCTATTACAAGCACCATCCGTCTGCATTTGTGATGCCGAGTAGTATTCCTATATTTGGATAGTACAGTTTCACCCATTCATTCATTCATTCATTTGCTGACACACTCTTCCTTCTTTTTTGAGTGTGTGAGGGAGAGTGCATGTTCATGGATGTTGCAGGTGCACACGTGTGCTTGGGTGTGTGGGTGGAGACCAGCATCTTAAGTGTTGTCCTCAGTAAACCTGTCTACCTCCTTTGAGAGAAGGTATTGTCCTCCAATAAAGGACTGTGCTCCAAGGCCAACTACAGCCATCTTCAAAGTCCAGCTGAGCCTGCTCACCAAAGATTGCTTCAGCTGGGCTTGTTGACCTTTGACCTTTCCTCCTGGTGGGGAGGGTCATGGGACCCTCACCTGAGTATCTAACCACTCCTCCCAACCAGTTGGATGCAAGTCTTCCCTAATTGCAAGTAGCCTCGGGTTCTCTGGGAGGGGATAGATGTTAGAGGTGGGGAAGGGGTTCCGTTCATGCAGCCACGAGGAAGCTGTCATGTCTGTCTGCACCCAGCAGACCTTCCAGGGTGACTGAAGTCACCCATTGCTCTGTTAGTAGGCCTAATAAACAATGGTTCCCCTTTCTCCATGAACTGTGGTGTTGGAACCTTGGGAGAGAGGTAAGTATTGTTTGCCAAGGGAAGGATTTTGGCAACACAAAGTCTCTTATTGGCCTGAAGCTCAGTGTTAGGCTGGAGAGCCCAGAGAGCCTCAGGAAGCCTCCTGGTACTGCTTCCTCAGCACTGGGCTTCCAGCAAACCTGGCATTTTCCATGAGTTAGGGAGCTTGAACTTAAAAGTCCTTGTGCTTGCGAGGGAAACACTTCTCCCCACCAAGCTCTCTCCCCAGCCCTCTGTGAACATTGGTCTGCAGGTCTGCTGTGAAGGTGTCCTCTTCCCCCCAGTAAACTCTCAGAAGTCGGGTGACTGTGACCAGTCCATTCTCACCAGGGCCGTTCATGAGCCGCTTTTCAATGAACACACATTAACTGTACAAAATAATGGGGGATCATTGTGACGTCTCCGTGCAGCATGCACCCCATCAAATCCAGCCATTTCTCGCACCCCACACTCATGCTTAAGTAACATCACTTAGCCAAATACAAGACACAGTTCAAAGTGCATCTCAGATAACAATGGATAGTTTTTAGTTTAAGTTCTGTCCAATATTCAGGGCACTTTTAACCTAGCAAAGTATTTGTCTTTTATCTGAAATTCACTTTTGATTGCCCACCCTACATTTTCCCCCTGGCAATTATATTTTAATTGTTCCAACAAAATCAAGTTTGATTGGACCTAGCTCTCTGCATATTTATTTAATAATGTAGGCCTATAGTAATGATTGTATTCTTATTTTTGTTTCTATTTTATTCTTATTTGTGTGTGTGTGTGAGTGTGTGTGTGCTTGTCTGTATGTGCACCATGTGTCTGCAGTACCCAAGGAGGCCAGAAGAGAGCATCAGATCTCCTGTAACTGGTGTTACAGGAGGTTCTGAGATGCCCATTGTGGGTGCTGGGAACCAAACCCAGGTCATCTGCAAGAGCATAAGTGCTTTTTAACATACCTCCCCAGCCCGTGCAATAATGATTTCAAACAGTACAGACAAGTACATAATTAAAAGGAAGAGCTCTCGGCATCATAGTTCAACAACTTTATGAACATATTGCAAGCCATTTACTGGACACTATCCACCTCAAAATGACCTGGAGCACAGGGCAGTGGTGGCGCACGCCTTTAATCCCAGCACTCGGGAGGCAGAGCCAGGCAGATCTCTGTGAGTTCAAGGCCAGCCTGGGCTACCAAGTGAG